CCACATCCTGAACCCCCGACGCGAGGGTGGTGAGGGAGGGAAGATTTCGGGGGGGAGGAGGTCCACATAGCTTAAAGCGGCCAAGATTGAGAAACACTAATATATACACAGAAAACTCATATAATCATACATGGCTTAGCCTTCACTCACCCTTCTGCTTCTGAAATTCCCATTGCTCACATATCTTTGAGGATTTCTTAGCAGCTATAAACTTGATTTTTCTGCTGCTTGAAGAACCCCACCGTATTTTTATTGTTGGAAATTCTACATTTGCCTCAAAACTGCTCGGGGAAAAAACCCCACCCTTCTAATTAAACCATAAGAGCTGGGAAGTTGATTGTTTAAGAGGGAATTGAAACTGACGTGATCCTGTTGAATCGCAGCATGGTCAAAGTTTACCGCACCAGCTTTGATCTCCTTCGATCCTCTTTTCAGAAGGAAGATGCGATAGACGTTTTCCAAATGGATGTTGGCCACATCTCGGTCACGAACGTCAAGCTTTGGAGTCGGAAAAGTCGACACCGGCGTCCACCCCAGATCCCTGAACATCAGCCCTTCGTCATCTGCCTGACCGGCTTCTACAGCTGTCAGTGGGGCTGGCAACAGCACAGAACAGTGAAGCCAGGCCATTGGTGTTGCAAGAAGGTAAGACTGAAGATTGAAGGCTGTCAGTCATTGCAAGAAGGCGCAGTGTGGCTGGACATCAGCAATTTCTCTAGAGTGCGTGGTTTCCAACTTTTGACATAAAGTCACAGAATCATAGAGTTGAAAGGGATCTCAGAGGTCATCTAGGTGAACCCCAGTCTCTGTTTGAAGATACCAATATACTGGTAGTCCCCAGTTTAAGAACGAGTTCTGTTCCCAAGGTCTGTCCTTAAGTCGAATTTGTATGTAAGCTGGAACAGTATTATTGTATAATACTGTATAAGTAGTATTGTGTAATTAACTTGAACCACTGAGTATATAACTCAAATTTTGCTACAGTAGGCTCTGTTCTTAACTATGGGTCGTCTGTAAATTGGGCATTCTTAACCCGGGGACTACCTGTATTATCAAAAGCTGATAATTACCAACTGCCTCATTTAGCAACCGTTCAAAGTTATAACAATGTAAAAAACCCCAGGTTTATGACCAGTCCTCGCATTTACGGCTGCTGCAGCATCCTGTGGTCACATGATCACCATTCAGGCACTTTGCAATTGGCTTGTGACAAGCAGAGTTAAAGAGAGAAGGTGGAGGTAAAATTGTAAGTTGCAGTCACGTGATTTTTCGATTAAAGACCATGGCACTTCGCTTAACGATGGAAGTGGAAGTGAGGTTGTAAGCCCGTCATGGTCATATAATTTTCTGCTTAGCGACTGCAGAGCTTAACAACAAATTTGTTGGTCCCAATTGTGGTCACTAAGTGAAAACTTAAATGCAGGGTTTTTTGGCAGCTGTATGGAATTTTTTGCAACTTCCTTCTTCCGGGATGTTTTTTCCAGCAACTCTGGGATTTCCTCGTGGTCTCCCATCCAAGTTCCACCTGAGCATGACTTAAGTTACCTTCCAAGCTAGACAAACCCCATCATGCCATTTAGACTGAGTGCAAAGAAAGGAAACATAATCAAACCATAGAATTTCTCCTCGCAGGGACTTTTTGCACAATCCAGACTCCTTCAAGTTGGATTCCACACCTGGTGACTATCGTTTCATTGGCACTGATATGAAGAGGGGTCGTCCTTGCCTTAATTCCATGTCCTCTCCTCTGATTCTTTTTTTTCCTATTCTTCCCTTTTTTCCTAGAGGGAGTGTAGTTTTTTTGCAATCTTGACGCTGGCGCTGAGCTTCTGGTTCATCTTTCTGTCTCTCTGGGGGGGAACAAAGAACGACTATCACAATTTTGATGTGTAAGTGTCCTCGTTGCTTGACACAAGCGCTTAAATCCAGATAGCAACAGGAGCGGACGGGCTTGGGACGTGGCCGAGAAGAAGCACTCAGATCTCACGTACCAGACGCATCCCTGCGGGGGGGGTCAAAAAAGTTGATATGGTGGATGCAACCCACCAATTGAAGCCCCTCCCCTTTTTTACATGTGTGTAAAAAGGCGGCAGGGCTTGGATTGGTTGTGACCACTATATGTTTTTCATAAAAAAACCTCCTTTATTTAATAATGATACATTATGCATATATACAAAGATAGATAGATGATAGATAGATAGCGATATATATTCATTTTCCTCTTTTAAGAAGTACATCAACAGTTCTCTGTGCTCGTTTTATTATTATTATTGTTTAGTCTTATTCTAATCCTTTTATATATTTCAAAAAATATATTATCTATGGATAAACAGATCACTACTGAGGTTGTGCCATTATTACTCAATATGACATTAGTAAAGGTTCCAAGCAGAGTATATTATTTTTATGATAGTGAAAAGAAGTACAAGTAATCCTCGGCTTATGTCCATTCGTTCAGCGACTGTTTAAATTTGGGACAGCGCTGAACGAGTAGTACTTACAACCAGTCCTTGGAGTTCCGGCAGTTGCAGTGTCTGACAGTCATGTGATTGTGATTTCCGACATTCCCTGCCAGCTTCCCACAAGCAAAGTCAATGGGAAAGCCAGCAGGAAGTTGGAAGTTGCGGCCAAGTGAGGTCCTTGCTTAATGACGGCAACCAGGATTGCTGGAACTGCCATCGCTAAGCAGTGTGGTCACGTGGTGTGACACTTATGACCATGTCACTTAGCGATGGCAATTCTGGTCCCAATTGGCATCATTAACCGAGGACTACCTGTATAAATTTTTGAGCTGAATGCCAAAATCTTGACTATGTTATTGTTTATAAATGTTAAAGAAAAAGAAAAAGAAAAGAAGAAAAAAGGGGGGGAAATCCCTAAAAATAATATAGGTAAATATTTAATTTCTAACTTCCCCTTTCTTTGTACTCTAACTCAGGTTCCTCAACCTTGGCAACTTTAAGATGGGTGGACTTCAACTCCCAGAATTCCCCCGCCACCAAAGCTGGGGGGGGGATTTTGGGGGTTGAAGGTCACCCATCTTAAAGTTGCCAAGG